ATGTCAACTTGAACTTTAGCTTTCTCGAAATAAGCTTTCCGGTCACCTGTTTTCGCTCTGGTGACCTGTACAACTCTCCCGAAACCTTACATGCAGAACCTATCTCAGAAGCTACTGGGCCCCGTCTGGCGACCGTAGGCGTATCCGGCTCTTTTGAAACCTTTGGAGCTTTCATTGACTTCCTCGAAAAACTCAGAGAGGAAGAAAATATTCGCTTGGACTAAGTTCGGGCTTATTCACGGGAAGGATTCATCAAGTTTAGATAAATGTTGATGGAGTGGAGCTGGACTTCAACAATCAGTCGACATTCTCTTCGGGCGACGTCTCACAATGTGTAATGGTCGAGCAGGTCTTCCCCACAAAGATATTCACTCCAGAAGGTTTGCCAGAAAGTTTTGACAGCGTTTTTTTCTCGCAAAATCGGGACATCGCGGTATCTTCATTACTTCAGTATGATGTACATCAATATGAGCACGTTTTTCTCCCGAATATGGGGGAGGGGGGACATGACTGACTGCGCACTGACAGTTATGATCCCTACGAACGATAGAGACCATAGAGTGAGGGAGTGTGACGAGGACATGGATCGGAACGGTAAAGAGGCTTTTCCAACAATGATGCCATTTCTGACTCCGCAGCAACTGGCTGGACGGTTCTGGCAGCGATCTAACCACTATCCAGGTCACGTCCTTATAGGGGATTCCCCTACAGGGAGGGGGCGCATTTGGTCGCTGGGGGAGGGGGTCGTAGTCGGGCCTAGAACAGGTTTTTTGATACTGGTTTTTCTCGTTTCTCGACGTTGGAAAGGGGAGGGCGTATTCCCCTTCTCGACAGCTCGATGAGGAGGGAACCAGGGGGGGGGGGTCGTACCAACCCTCTAAGAACAAGGGGGGTTACGGGCTCGACCGAAATCCCCAACTAATAATGTGCCCTGTCCCTGTCGTCTCCAGAGGTCGTGTCTCTAAATTGAACGCGGCAGCTGCGTTCTTACTGAGGTAACGCTGCTTCACTAAAGTTGGAATCATGTCTCTATCAAGCACAAAACAGGGTAACAGTTTTAGAGTGGAGTAGCTCACGAAAAACTCCTCCTCAGATGAAACTTTACACAAATCGGCTTTAAAAGGATGAAGGAGCTTCTGATTCTGGTTGGCATGATGGTTTCCTACTTAGCCTAAAATGCTAGTAGGGCGCTGTATAGTGGGGAAATGGCGAAAGAACGGAGTGAAACGGTCAAAATCCTGCGAAGAAAAAGCCTCCGTTCTCAGTGACTTGTAAATCGATTTCGGACGAGTTTCCCGTAGGCATCTTACCAATCACCGCTACCGAAGATACGGCTGCATATGG